AAAGTTCGTTAAATAGAGAATGCACTTCGCTATTTGGAGATTATTTTACGAAGAAATTCTCAACATGTTCTTGGTTCCAAGGAAAAGTTCGCAAAATAGAGGTTCGTTAAATAGAGGTCCGACTGTATATAAAAAGAAACTGTATTTATAAGAAGCTATTATGTTTCAGAAAGGCTGAAACCTTTCAAAGAGGGGTGGTGTCCGTACCGTACGAGGGCGCTTTCGTCGACCACCAAAATTTTTCCATCTGCGCAGGAGCCTTAAAAAAGTTTGCCAATTTCTGGGTTAGGATTGATTTACCGTTACAGAGGGACACACATACTAGATTTCATTAAAATCGTCCCATCCTGGAAATGATTTTGGAATAAACTTACAGGCGCGCATAAACACGTTGAGTTTTATCTGTATAGATTAATTATCAAGAATTTTAATGGCGTTCATTCTCCAAACAAAATCCACCGTATGCTTTACATTCTCAATCATTACGAAGGACTGTGCCATTTTCTCCTTAAATTATCTCTCGGAATGCGTTTTCTTTCTCAATCAAAAGTAACAGGTGTGCATAGAATGTCTTCTTTTCCCACAACTATCGTATTGATAAAGGGTATTTATTAAAATCAAACTGGATGTTTTTTATCTTGTATCTTTTGAATATCTTAAAATGGAGCTTGAGAGCAATCATTCGTTTGCACTTCGCAGCTGCTTATATACAGCAAGCCAGATATCCCGTTTATTTATACAGGGTGTCCACACTTATCGTGGTCCAGTAGCTAATTTCTAAACAGTTAGAGATAGACATATAGTTCCAATAGGAAAATGCTTTAAATAAAGGGAAGAATTATATATTAGGTTTTTTTTAATTCACTAAATATATTTCTGAAAAAAAATACGAATTCTAACTTTTTATACGGTCCCCCGGTCCTATCAGTCATATTTAGTAAAATATTTTTGACATTCTATCATTTTAAACAAAAAAGTCGCACTCTTCTGCGACTAAAACTGAGCGAGTTCTGGAGCTTCGAATTTCATGATTTTTAATCAATCAGCGGCCTCGTCGAGCAAGTGCTGTTCATTGATTGGTGGACCGTGTTCAAGACGGCTATTGAAATGGTGTGAAGTGGTCTAAGTCAGCGATATTCTAAGCTCCATAACTCGGTCAGTTTTAGTCGCAGATGAGTTGGACTTTTTTCGTTTAAAATATTAATGTGTCAAAAATATTTTACCAAATATGACTGATTGGACCGGGAGACCGTATAAAAAGTTATAATTCGTAATTTTTTCAGGAATATATTTATTCACTGAAAAAATATATATTATAATTCTTCCCTTCATTTAAAGCAGTTTTTCAATTAGAACTATATATCTATCTCTAGCGGTTTAGAAATTAACTATTGGACCACGATAAGTGTGGACACCCTGTATACATAACAGCGTTATGTAATAAATTATTTAAAGATAAGACAACAGCTTACATTAACATTATTTATATCATTCTAGGCGAATATCCTGTTTGTATGTTATGAAACCCTGTTAAGCTCCCAATAAAATAAAAAATGTTAAAACACTCACTATCAAGATTTTTTACGCCAAACTCCAGTTCATAAAAGGCAATATTACAGAAATTTATGTCTCTAAATTGAGCCGAGGTTCGCTATGCGAACATAAAATGTTTTAAAAACGATTATAAATACTTTAATAATTATTTTAAATTATGAGGATTCAGGACTAATTACATTTTCGGTATACCAGCAACATCCATCTGAAGCTAATTTTAAGAAGAAGCTTCTTTTTTACCTTGAAATGAATCGGGGTATTTTTTTTTTTGACTTGTAAGTTATATTTGCTGTTGACTTTCGAAAATTCTACATGTAACATTCCTTGAATAAACAGTTCATATTATTAACACCAATTTGTTATAAACGTCACTTGATATGCATTCACTTAACACACTTTTAGAGGAAATGTTGGCTTGGTTAATTCGCTTAGTAAAACTTTTCTCCTAAATAGAGATATTGGGTGAAGGCCAAGTTTCCGCCCGTAGATTTAGCATAGATTTAGCAATTATTGACCTGACAATTCACTAAATGCATCAAACACATTTTTTCTTCTTTTTCCAAAGTTCATCTGGTAGTCTTTTTCTTATTCGATTTGTCCAGCATTCATTACTTTCTCGTATACGAAGTATACAAAGAGAAAGTATTGTAATCGTCAAAAAATTCGAACTCGACATTTTGACGGATCTCCACGTTTTAGACCTCCCTGAGTCCGAAAAACACAATTTTGGAATTATGTCTGTATGTCTGTCTGTGTGTGTGTCTGTCTGTGAACACGATAACTCGAAAACTATTAGAGCTACGGGGATGAAATTTGGTATGTGGTCTTTAAACATAATTTGTAGGTTTCTATCAAATTTTGGACAAAATCCGTCAAAGGGAAGTCTGTCTATTTGTTTGTCCGCGGTCATGTGAACGCTATAACTCAAAAACTTGAATAGTCAAATGAATAAAATTTGGTGCACAGTTTTATCGTTATGAATGTAGGTCCGTATAAAAGTTTGGGCCAAATCCGTCAAAAAGAGGCATTCAAATTGCATATTCAATTTCTTTTAATCCGATTCTCCTGCGTATGTGTATTGGTAGCAATCTGTTATTGTTGTAAATTTTATTTACAACAATAAATAATGTTTTCAAGCATCAATTGTTAAAAAATTTTTTATTGTAAATCAAACCGATCTCATTATTTCAGCAAATCTTTTATTCATGCGCTTTTGCAATTGTTACGGTTGTGGTAGTATAAATTGTTTTCTTGGGAATTCAATTCCAAAGCAGAATTTTCGCTTTAGTATTCATTGCATTGCCGATTTTATCGCGCCTGCTTCAAAGTAATATTTTTTTGAAACGTGGCAACAGATATTTGATTTCAGGTTTGTTTGTTTTTTTGTTTTACTTTCTCGTATACGAAGTATACAAAGAGAAAGTATCTCCACTACGAATCTCCACTTAGAAAGTATACGAGAAAGTTTAGGGGAGACCACTCCCGCTGGTTTTTTCTAGTTTTTTTTAATATGATTTAGATAAATATTACTTTAAAATGACAAAAATTTAACTCCAAAGATATTTTTCTCTTATTCAAAATATTGTTAGATTTTTAACTTATTCTCAAAGCTCAAAACCACAAATTTCAATTTTGCAAATGAAAGAAAAGTATGCAAAATAAGTCGAGGTCATTTTCTAACGCTTTTTCAATCATACTATCGTAGTCTCAAGTATAATAACCGAAAGCGCTATTATTTCGGTCAATTTTGTATTTCTTGACGGAAACATAATAAGAGAAGAAATTTTGTTATTATTTTTTTGGGGAATAAATATGTCTTATATTCGTTTCTTCTTTTCATTTTCAACTAAACGAATTATAATAGTTGACATCTGTATAAGTCCAAAGTGAAGAATAACAGCTGTCCAAATAGTTTGGCACCGCGCAAGTAGCTCATCAAGTCGAGTGATTTAGTACGACGATTAATAAACTTCTTCGTTCTACACGGTGCCGTTTCTTCCTAAAATTCTCGTTGTCTCGTAGACATCTTTTCTTAAAATTTAAAAGCAAGTTATATAAAAACACATTCCGCGAGGGAATTATTTCGCAGACATATAAATAACAGAAAAAAGAACATATTAATAATATTAAAAGTTTTAGGAATTTTTAAATGCCCATGATTTCAGTATTCCATTTCAATACGATACTGTTTTAATTTTGAAAATAAAATTACTATATTTTCATTGAATTGATTTAAAGGAACAGAAACAAAGAAATATTTCAAAACTTTTCTTAGATCTCATGATTTTTTTTATTGCCAGAGATTAAATCGTTCTCTCCACGCAGCTAAAAAGTTAGCTTTTAACTGAAAACGACTAGTAATTCTGGAAAAGACGCCAAGTGCACTTAAAAAGTTAAAAATAAGATTTTTAACAAAAGTGACCAGACATTCCCGATTTGCAGGGTACTGTCCCGGATTTGTATCAAATTTGAGTTAAGTAAGTAAATATTTCGTATTTAAAAAAGATTAACTATATTTAATTTTTGGAAAAAAAGTTAGTTTACAAGTTTTATTTTAAAAAGTAAAGTAAAAGGGAATTCACAAGATCGGCTTTTATTACAAGCAAATTTTGGTCTCCTGGAATAACAAAGAGAAAGAAAGTAAAATTAGATTCTGTCTGATCATGATTTTTTTTATCCAGAAAAAATATTTCGGTGTGAAATAATTGTGCAATGATTAGAAGTTGAAAACGTGAGAGAAATAACAAACTGATCATCTCTTAATTTGAAATACTTATTTTATAGAACGAATTGTGTATTAACTGTTGCATTTCGGCATCAATGTTATGGATAATAAAAAATGACCATGCGTCACAGGTCAGTATTGAATTTCATCTTCTGTTTCGGATTGCAAAAGTATACCGAATTTGAAGTAAGTGTCTCGAACTGTCCGGTTTTTCAGTTAAAACCACACCAGCAGCTTTTCAGACAGCTTGTAAGGATCCCCTCTAGGGCAATCCACCAAAACAGCGATGTGCGGCCAACTGTAACACCGTGGGGGAGGTCGAGGTCGCCCCTGGTGGCCAGACAGAGCAGAAACGAGGAAGCAAGGCCGGAGGATAACGCTGTGAGACGAACTCTTGTTTCTTGTTTTGTCATCATGCCAAAAATATGCTGCTTTTGGCCGTCCAGGTTGTTTTCCACCACTTATTATTCCAAAATTCTTCTAAATACGTGCAAAATATGTTTTGTAAATTAAATCTATTTAGACCAGAACTGGCGTTTCTGAATTATTTATGCCTAACAGGCATTCGGCCACAATCATTCAACGAAAGTAAAGGACGGGCTACCAAGACCGGGGCAAGCAAGGAAAAAGCGGGAACCAAATAGAGGGCCACTCTATTTGTATTCAGCTGGACAGAATACTTCACCTATAAAATATGCAAAGGTTTAAAGAAAATTAAGCTGGCAGCCAGCAAGTTCGAACCTGCGCGGGAACTAGTTCAGGATACCGCCTTAATCGCTCGGCCACGGCTGCCACACCAACAGCCGCGCAGACAGCTGGAGAAGACACTTTACTTATAAAATATGCAAGGGTTTA